CAGGGCTGGCACCCAAAAGCCGGGTCCTGCTGGATGAGGGGCTGCCTGGCCTCTCTGGGGGTCCTCCTTCCCCTGGCTCTGGTGGGGGGCCCTCCCCAGACCACCCTGGGGCAATCGCCTCCCAGCAACCCCATCCAAGAGTCAGTCCCTGCTGGCTTGGAAATGCTGTATATATAAGTCTATATTTTTTCCTCCTTTGTAACTTATCAATGGTTTAATAAAAAGATAAAATTTACAAGAAAAAAAATATCCCCCACCCTGGGTGGGGACACCCCCACACACAAGGGGCAGCCTCAGCTCCTAGAGACACAGGGTGGTGGCCAGAGGGACATCCCTGTGGCCAGGGGGGTGCTGGCACTCAGCCCCTATATCTCTGGGGCTCTTCCTAGAGCCCCCTCCTTGCCATGGGGCAGTTTGAGAGGCCGTGGGGCAGTTCTCCTGCAGCACCCCCATTTATTATTGGGGCAGGGGCATCTCCAACCCACTGTGCCAGCACCATCCCTGGCACCTTTGTGGGTGGGCTGAGGGTGATCTACCCCTCCAGCATCCCCCAACAGGGTCCAGTTCCTTTTCTTGTACTGGGGACCCTATGGGAGGGTTCCCACACCCTGCAGAAGCAATGAGACAAAAAAGGGGGACAGCAGCTCTCAGTCCCCTCTGGCTGCTGCATGGGGGCAGCCTGCATGGCCCCTTCCCCGCCACCCTGTGCCACTCCAGTGCACCCCTGGCCAGAAGCCCAGTTTGGCTGGCACATGACACCACTGGCTGGGCTTCAACTGGGCAGCTGTGTCCATAAACAGCCCAGCACGGACCCCCAGCCAGCCAGCGTCCCCCATGGAGGGGCAGCCCCTGCCAGCTCAGGGGGACAGAGGGCACAGCCGGGCATGGCCACGGGCATTGCATGCTGTCACGCCAGCAGGAGAAACACAGACACGACCAGATCCAGCCCTGTGGGTGCCATCCCCCAATAAGTACCATGGGTGACAGGAGCTCCTCCACCCAGACATTAGTTTTGGGTTAAACAGCCAAAGATGGAGGACTCCACATCAGCTGTCCAGGCTCAACAGGGTGCTTGAGGCCCTGGTATTACTGGTGTTAGTGGTGTTAGCTGGGGCATTGCTCCTGGGTAGGGTGCAAGGGACATCTGCTCTTGCCCACTGGCCACGAGTGGTCCCAGTGGGGTGGTGGAGATGGAAGTGCCCCCTCCTCTGCCCCCATGTAAGAGCCCCTTGGCATCCTGTGTCCCAAGGAGAGCCCATCCATGAAACTGGGCTCTGCTGGTGTAGCCAGAGACAATCCCAGTCTGCAGAAGGGACATGAGGCTTCCCCAGATCTGCCGCCTTCTACTGGATGGAGAAACCATCACCACCATAAGCTCAGAGAAGAGTCAAAACCTGAACAAGGATCCCTCCAAATCCAAGAGGCTGGGTCTGATGGTTTCCTGGCAGGTCCCCTGCCCACCCTCCTACCCATTATGGTGGGATAGGGCCTCCTGCTTCTCAACTGCTCTCTTCAGGAACTTGACCCGGGATGGGGAAGCCCATTTTGGTCTGGTCCAGCCTGTTCCTGGGGCTGGGGCTGATGCAGCTGGTGTGGGTCTCCAGCGTGCAGGTTGCTCTCTGGAGGAACTGCAAGAAGTTTTCCTGAACAGAAGCCTCTGAGACAGAAAGACAGAGCTCTTGGCCCAGTGGCCGGTTGAGACAGCTGCGCCGGAGTCGGGCCAGCTCCTCCCGGATCTGGCGATTCAGCAGCCCATAGAAGAAGGGATTGATGGCAAAAGAGGAGTAGGCAATCCAGGTGACCACCATCTCCCCATGTCCACCACCCACTGTTCCAGCAGTAACAGAGGAGTGCAGGTGGAAAGCGAAGAAGGGCAGCCAGCAGCACAAGAACTGTCCCACAATGAGGACCAAGGTGAGGATGGCCTTGTTGCCTCCCAAAAGGCGCTCTGGCACCAGCCTGGGCAGCGGCAGGTTCCTGGTAGTGATGATGGTCACTTGGCTGGCAATGGAGTCAGATCGGTGTCTTGGCACAACTGCCTGTGCTGGCACGGGCACGTGCTGCAGGGATGCTATCCGGGCCACACGATAGACACTACAATAGACAGCAAAGATGATGATGGTGGGCAGAACAAAGCAGACGATGCTGAAGATGATCACAAAAACCTTCTTGTGGGCCCCAGGGCTCCAGTAGACTGTACAGCGGCTGGCGCTGGTGGCCCCATTGCCTTGAGGCCAGCCCACAAGTGCCAAGACAGTGATGAGAACAGACTTGACCCAAATGAAGATCACTCCAGCCACCGCAAGCCTGACGGTCATCTTGACCTCATACCTCATGGGGTGGACGATGTAGTAGTACCGCTCCACACTGATGATGGATATAGTGAGGATGGAAGCACTGATGAAGCAAACATTCAGGAATATCAAGGCCTGGCACTCAGAAATGCTGTAGATCACCTTGTTGAAGCAGGAGGAGCTGGAGATGATCCCCAGGGGCATGAGGAAAATGGCAGAGAGGAGGTCGACCACACAGAGGTGGCAGACAAAGATGAACTTCCTGAGAAGGGGAGTTTTGAGAATGACGACCATCACCACAGTGTTGGCCACCAGGGCTGTGAGGGTGAGCAGGACCATGCAGAGGAGGCCCACCACCTCCTGGGTGATGGACTGCTCGGAGACAGAGAGTGGCTCTAGGCTGTCCGTGGTGTTCAGCCTCATGTGGCTCGCCATCCCCTGATGAGGTCTAAGCCAGCAGCTCCAGTGCCTGGGCAGCAAGGGCTCTTCTGCATCCCTTAGAGGGAAACCTCACCACAACCATGGTCTCTGTCTTCTACTTGCCTGTTGGGAAGGGGAGTGGGGTGTGACCGAGAACCAAAATGAAGACAAGCCACAGAGAAACCCAGAGATGACCTGAACCCCTCTGAGATGCTGGAGCAGGGAGAGGTGCCCAGCGAGGTCACAGTACCCTGTCTACTCCAGAGCTGGCATCCAGGCTGTCCCCAGCCTGGCCAGGGACGGCACTGTTAGGACCTGCAGGCACCCATCCCAGGCAGACACCCCATCCCTCTGCCCCAACCGCACCAGCACACCCTGAGGGACAGCATGAACCCACCTGCCCCATCCCTGCTCCTTGCTCTGGCTGCAGGGGACACCGGGGTGAGTAGGGGGAACCCAGCGCACCTTTTCTCCTGGGGAGGTGGGTGATGCTCCCCTCCTTGCCGCGGATCCTTCTTGCCAGTGTCACTCCTGCAGCAGAACAGGGGCTGCTGGCCCCTGTGCAAGGCCACACTCCCCCTTCCCTGCACCCCGTCACCCGCTCGTCATCCTGTTTGCCTGCAGCCTGCCAGCTGCGGATGGCACCAGCTGTCACTCCCGGGCGCTGCCTGCGCTGCCTGCACTCGTGGCGGTCCCACGGGGACAGCTGCTGGGTCCTAGCAGCCAGCGGGGGCTCAGGAAGGGGGGACCAGGGTTCCCAAGCCCTGTCCCCACCACCCCCCAGCACAGCCACCCACTGCACCAGGCCTGGTCCTTCCACAAGGACAGCTCGTTCCTGAGGTCCCAGGGGCTCGGGGGACAGACCCACAGGCATGTCTGTGGCATGTCCTCCCTGCTGGTGCGTGGACGCTCTGGAGCATCCATGGGGCACCAGTGTAACGCAGACAGGAGTTGCCTTTCCCCGGCACTCCAGGACCCTGACACATGCTTGAGGGGCACATGTGAGCGCAGAGGAGGGCTCAGCATGGGCGCCAGGCCAGGGCAGGGCAGCAGGCATGGCACCGAGTGTGACACCGGAGGCAGGCACTACCCCTCTGGATGCATGGATGAGCTCCTCCATGTCCAGGCAGGGCAACACATCTTGCTTGTCCTCTGTAGCTCTGATGCTACGGTGATGGGCATGAGCCATGTGCCATGCTGTGGTGATGCAGGCACCCAGCTTGCAAAGCCACCAGCTTTCACCTGAAGGCTGCCAGTACCAGACAGCCACAACAGGCTTCAGCCTTTCCAAGAGCCACCCACTACCACCCCTACTGGGACCTACCACCACCCTTCCCTACCCTACAGCCAGGCAGGAAAGCGCCAGCACCACTCAATACAAGGAACAGGGTTTTTATTCACAGTCAAAGCAAGCTCTGTCCCCACACCAGCCTGTCCCTTGCCAAGCCCCAGGTCAGGTGGCTGGAGAGTCCAGACCACTGTGCTTGGGGCTGGTAGGCATCACCAACTGGTGCTGGGATGGGGCTGCAGGGTTCCTGGGCACCCTCAGAAGTGGAGCTGGACAAGGTAGCGGATCCGGCACTGGCTTTCCTGGTAGATGAGGTACTCGCTCTGGCTGAAGGAGGAGTCCTTGTAGGCTGGCATGGGGATGGGCTTGCCCTGGCACACCAGCACCTTCTTGCCGTCCAGCAGCATCTCCTCATCCTGTGCGGGGTCTGGGTGACACCCCCCACCACCATGTCAAGCCTGAGATCTGGCCTCTCTCCCCACAGCCCTGTGCCCACCCCAGCCCCACAGACCCCACAGCCCCTCCTGCTCCAGGCTCACCCGGCTCTGTCCGGCCGCAGGCCAGGACACTGTCATAGCCAGCGGGCGGCTGACACAGCGTGGGGTCATCGCAGGTGATGCGGTAGGGCTTGCCCAGGGCCACCTCCGTCAGGAACATGATGCCAACCTTCTTGGATGTGCAGCCCACTACCATGGGATAAGGGAATGGGGATGATGGTGTCAACCCTAGAATTCCCTTCTGGTTGTGCTCAGACCACCCGGGCACGCAGGGACCAGCTGCCATGGCAGGGAAGGGGCTTGGCCTGGCCGCAGCTGCCTGGCAGGGGCTATGCAAAGGTAGCTGGGCTTGTACCAACCCTGCAGGCATCCTGAGCGGCACTGCCCATCCCAGGACCCTCACCGTAGCAGGCAGACTTGCTGTTCTCAGAGGCGAAGTAGATGCCTTTGCCCACACGCCCGCCCGAGTGGGGCATGATGCGCAGCCCACTCTTCAGGATGGCCGCAATCACTGCCACATTGGTGCCATGCCAAAGCAGGCGCCGGTGCTCCAGGAGGTCGTGGGCTTTGAAGCGCTCATCCTGGAGAGACACAGAGCTACAGGATGTCCGTGGAGGGAGACGTGGGTGCGCAGGGGTGGGGGACTGCCACCTAACACCTCCCAGTCAACCCCTGTTTGCCACTGGCCAGCTGAGCCATAATGCAGTTCTGGGGTGCAACTGGGGCTTCCTCACTGTGGGATGGGGATAATCATCTCCTCACCTCACCATCTCGGGCCACCTGCCAGATATTGAGGATGCGGAGTTTGTGCCCAGTCTGTGCCACATAGTTTTGGATCAGCTGCCAGGGACGGAGGCAGGAAAGTGGTGTCACCACAGGCAGCCATCCCAGCAATGCCCACAGTCCCCCTGGGACAGTGGGGGCCTTTGGGGAGTCCACAGGCCTGGCACAATTGTTCCCCATCATGGGGCACTGTGGCCCAAGTGGCACCTGGTATTCCCGGGAAGCTGGGTCCAGCAAGGAGAGCTGGCAGCAGAGTAGGGCATAATCCTGATCCAGCGGATGGGCGACTTTCTTCTCCTCCTCCTCCTTCACCTTCTGCGCCTGCAGGCTCTGTGCCACCTCGATGTCAGCCAGGACCTGGCAGGCACAGACCGGGGACATCCTCACCGCCAGTTCTGGGCACCATGCTGGGGAACCAGGGCAACTCCAGCTTCCCACCAGGCAGGAGCCCTCCTTGGGGAGGGATGGCACCTGCCCAGTTCCCTGGCATCTCACCAACAGCATGTCCTTCTTGGCACGCAGCAGGTCGGGCGAGTTGATGGGCGGTGGCCGTGCCCGCCCAAAATTATGGGGGATGATGGTGTAGAAGCTGGAGGAGAGGTCCTCCAGGTGGGCATCCTTGGGAGGCTGCTCCTGAAGCGCCACCTCCAGCTCCTCCAGTGCCTCAAAGCCCCTCGCAATCTGCTGCTTGCTCAACTTTCCCAGTGGCATCTTCTTCACATCTGGCCAAGGGGACAGGGGAGGGCACAGGTGAACCCATCTGCCTCATTTGTCCCACATCCCACCAGGTGCTGGCTTGTCAGTGGGGATGCTCAAAAACCCACTGGCATCTCTGCCCCGTTCACCTCTCCACCTGCACACCCAGTCCGCAGCTCCCAGACCCACCCCACGCCACCCATCACCTCCTACCAATATTCATGGTCTGCATGGCATCCCGGAACATGTCACTGCTGAAGATGAGGGACACCAGGTCCTGTGTGGCTTTGTCCAAGGTGCAGGGCAGCACTTGCTGCTTGCAGACCTTGTCCCCGTCCACGCCATCCACCTGCAGACCCCCAACATCACCGTACCACCTGTGAGCCCACAGGTGATTACAGGGGCACAGCAGTAGGTCTGCCCACCTCAGTGGGGAGAGCCTGACCCTTGGGCAGCAAAGTGACAGGCAGGTGCTGCCTCCACTTTCCATGGCCAATGCCACCCAGGTGTCTGCCCATGGTTCTCACTTGGGATGCATGCCCTCCCACTCCACCTCAACCTATTAGCCTTAAATCTATGCCCACGGGCTGTTTTGGCTCATGTGCAGACCCCTCCTAAAACCCACCCCATCCTGCTGACCTGCTTGGATGTCCTGGTGCTCAGTGGGCCATGGGTGGCATGTGAGGACCACCCCACCCATGGTGACACCCCAGCTGCCTGGCACACTCACCCTGACAGCAACCTCCACCTCCTGCCCGGCCCCTAGCTGCACCTCGATGAGTGTGTACTTCCCTGGCTGGGCAACGAAGTTATCCCTCGCTGCCCAGCTGTTCTTGGTCTTCTCCCGAAACTTCTTCTCAAAGTCCTTCTTGGCGGCCTCCAGGGAGGCAGAGGGCATGAGCTTTGACTGGCCAACCTCACCCTGGCAGTGGACAGCAGTGGTCAGGACTCCTGCATCCCTGCTCCACAAGCCCCATGTTGGGGAAAGCAGCCTGGGAGCAGGGGGACTGTGATGGCAGGGTTGCAGGGCAGCAGGCAGGAACATGCCAAGCCACTAGCACCAGGTCTGGGGGTCCCTCCAGCTCGGGGAGACACCGCAGTGACAGGTGCCGTGCACCCTAGCCAGGGTGACCCCATTGTGTGGGGCAAGTCTTTGAAGCCTCCCCAACAATGGGCTATAGCAGGGTCACTTGGTTGCTCACTTTGGGACTGGGAACAAGGGGTGGGGACACCCAGGTTCATCCCTAACCCTTGGGGGTCCCAAGACAGAGTGGGGACAGCTGTGGTGGGGGGGACAAGTGCTGCTGGCATGGACTCACCACTCGACCCCAGCGACTCCAGACACTGTAGGCACCATCATGCTCAAGGAGCTGGATGATGTAGAACTTGTTGCTGTTGGCACCAATGTTGGTCTGGTTCAGGGTGCAGTCATAGTCCTCGTAGACCTACAGTGAGCAGCACAGCCTGGGCTGGCACCTGGGCAGCATTTGGGGATGTGGGGGGTGTGCAGAGTTGTTCCAGCGGGGCTGCAGGGGGGTCTGCAAGGAAAATTGGAGCTGCCCCTGTGTCAGCAGGGTGGGGACTACCCTGGGCCTCCCCTTATCCCCCTGCCAACCTTCCCCCATCCCAGCCTCGCTGGGTACCCAAGCCTTGCTCTCACCTGGGCACCTGGTGCTGTGCTCAGGGGGCACAGCACATCGATGGTGGCGGGAGGCTTTTCCTTGGGAGCAGTTTTCAGGGCTGCCAAGGTGGAGCTCCAGGCATCATCTTCCTCTCCCCCCTTCGCTTTCTTGCCCCTGCCATCTGGAGGGGGGGCATGGCGCTTGGAGGCCATGGCTGAGACACCCCCACGGGGACAGCTCAGCCTTAATCTCCCAGAAGAATCCTTGGGGAGAGCAGAGCAGGAGGTGAGAGATGCTGAGCTGTCCTTCTGGGATGGTGTGGCTGGGCTGTGCCTCACTTTCCCTATGCCTCCAGGCCAGACGAGGGGATGGGACTCTGCCACCGAAATGTCTCAGACTTGCCCCTCTGCTTGGACTGGGGGACAGAGCCCCTCAGCACCCTCCAGCCCCTGAGGGAGCCCAAAGAGGAGACACAGCCTGCTGACGTGGAGCTGAGAGGTAGCGAAGAGGGGCATGGCTGCTGGAGCAGCAAACTCAGGTCAGAAGGGCTGGAAGAGATCAAGGGTCCACTGGAGGGGTGGGGGGAGCCTGGACAGCCCTGCTTGGCTCCCACCTCTCCTCACCAGGGACCCTTAACATGCAGGATTATGTCCCCAAGACTCCCCCAGCCTTGTGTCCCCAGAGGCATGCAGGAGAGGAAAGCATGCAG